TGTCAGAAGTCGCTACAGACCCTAATCTTTTACCGATCGAGATCAGTCTCTTTTAAAATTAATTGTTAATAAATTAAAAAAAAACTGTGGAGCTCGATTAAAATAAAAACTCCTTGATATTAACCATCTGAAAGTCATAATAATATCCTAGTAACGGTTCCCTGGGGCAATATTGGCTATAAATTATACCTTGATATACTCAATTAGCCTAATATTATACACAGTATAATTAGTCTAATATTATACACAGTAGATGTCTTGCATTTTATAGCCAATATAAAATTCCGAACATTAACAATTTTATTCGTTACCAGTATTGGCTACATATTGGGTTATATTGCTCCATATACTCTCTAGTATACAAGTATATGATTGTATCAGTATTGATACAATCATGTTGTGCAATATTGGTAATTTATTCACATTTTATTTATAAACAATATTGGTTATATATTGTTATATATAATATTAGTCATATCGGCCTAATGAATGGTCAATATAACCAATATTGCACCATTGTAACACCAATAAACTGTGCTACTAGAGTAAACTTGTATTCAGCAACCTACGAAATTATAGTGCAAACTTATTTCTGTTAAGAAACATGCATTTTTGTATAATTGACAGGAATATTGATAGCTATCAACCATCAGATCCTAATTCTTACATGTAATTTGTATTCAGCAATCTCCAAAATTATTAATGTGTCCTTATTCCCGTTAAAAAGCATATACTTTTTTTAAGTTGACAACGAGATTAACAGTTTTCAATAGTCAAATCTTAATTCTAATATCAGATTATTCAGCGGTTCTAAAAATCTTTATATAAGATAGTTTAATGCAAGAGTAACTTTAAAAATCATATTCTTCTAATTTAACTTTTGTTAACAATAATTTCCAAATTGTTGTTAATTTTACAAATTTCAGGGGGCCTTTTTCAAAAGTCGAGAGCTCCGCAATTCTTTTTAAAATTTATTAATGATTAATTTGTAAAACAGTATTTCTTTGCAACTTTTAAAAGGAATCAGTTGGTGTATAATTTAATAATTGGGATATATTTTCGACATGTATTGACATTCTCATATGCTCATATTATACATTATTATTTTTTTGTAGTTTAAAATTATTCTCGCAAATATCCAGCGACTGGCTCCTATAGACCATAATTGTAACCTTTAGAATTCTACCGGCATTAATAAAATATTTTTAAGCGTAAATTTGAGAAAAGCTTCTATTTTTTGAAAATTATGTACTTGAAAGAAAAATTTAATATTTTTACAAGAATATTATGAAAGAGTGATGCCACTAATCCATAGGCCATGTGCTCCATTTCTGGTGAAAAATGTACTTAAAATGGCCACCAATTAAAGGTCTTGATGAGCTGATTACAAAGATATAAGTTTTAGAACCGCTTAGTGTACCGTTCTAACACTACGATCCAAAAAGATCCCAAATTTTAGGCTACTTTCAAACTAATATTTTTTTAGCAAAACTTAACGGATTTTAAAAATTCAAAATGCTACATTTAATAAAATTAAATAAAGAATTTAATAGTATAAATTTCATGTTCCAAACTGACCGGAAGTAGAAAATTCCAAATGGAACATCAACTTCCGGTTGATTTTGAAATATGAAGTGCATAGGAAAATGCACCTTAACCTACTCAAAAACATTAGAAATACTCAAATTGTTTTTGCTTAATTATTTTAAAAGCTAGATCAAACAAAATTCAACTTTTGAAATAAAATGAAAGAAACATAAAGAAAGTAGCCTAAAATTTGGAAACTTTTTGGACCGTAGTGTTGAAACAATACACTGGGCGGCACTAAAATTTATGTTTTTGTAATCAGCTAACCAAGGCCTTTAATTTGGCATTTATTTTAAGTACATTTCTCACTGCTCAGAAATGGGGCATATATTGGCGTCACTCTTTTGTCAAAAAAAGAATTGGTTCACCTTTGTGACTATGACTAAAGGATCATTTTTTTGAGCGTGTGACAAGTCGAATTTTTGTTTTAATCAAATATTTGGTTCGTCTGGATCGGTTAAGAATCGCCAGTGGCAATTTTTGAACAGTAAATTTTCATCCCCACTGTGCGTCGCCGCGCCGCCGCCGTCGTCACAGTAGCGACGGGACAGGTCTTGCTGAGACGTCTTTGTTAATATATTCCGTATCGATGATGATCGATTCCTTCATCCGATCACGAAGTCGTCCCCGATCCGCTCTCTTTCTCTTTCTCATGGTGACAATCTGGACGGGGACTCGTCGATGCACGCTGCACGCGCAAACCGGATCGGTTTTCTCGTCGAGCGGGAAGACCCGTAATTATGTAATTACTGTTCTTTTTTCTTCGTCTTTCAATATCTACGACGTTTATGCCGATTTTTCCACGGAGAGTGAGAATGTCACTACTCTCCTCGCTCTTTCCCGCTCCTCCCCTCCTCCTCCTCCTCCCCCTCGGCGCCGTCCTCATTGGCGTAACTAGCGGCCGCGTCGATATCGCAATAAAACGCGAAGTGTAACGGCGCGAGCGTAATGAGTACGGCCGTAATTATGCGGGAACGTCGATCGGACTTTCGATCTGCCGAGCTTTATCGTTCGCTTTCCTCTGAACATCCTCACCTCGTTTCTCGAGAACGGATGTCGGTTGACTTAGTTGCTTTTTCCTTCAGGAGGAAGAAATTCATCGGCTGATTTGGCAGAGACTGTAGTTTGCTGGACAAAATTAAGTGTTATCACTAAGCGGATTAACTCGCGCAGCGAAGAAATTATGTATGAATGCAATTGTTTCAGTCTCCCTATAGAACAAATTCATTTTATTAAATGATAAATTAATTTCTGTACACAAGAAGAATATTGTAGTTGATATTTTCGACTTTGGCGACGTCGTCTAATACTTTGCTTGTTTTCCGCCGGGTTTGGACCGCGTTTTTCTTTCGTTTGCTTCTGACGTTCACTTCAGTTCACTTCTTCAAGGAGCAATGCGATCAGAAACACTTATATTATAGCGACCTGAAACTAATATAATTTTTTTCATGTATACATGTTTTGTCCAATTTTTCACTTTTTCTATTATATAGTATAGATTGGATTAGTCAATAAAATCTATCTTGTTAAGGAACACAATAAATTTCGTTAGAAACATAGCATATACAGAAAAATAAATACTGCATTCAAGTAAATGTTACTTGTTTCAAACACTTTATAAATTTATATATCCAAATCTCATAAGTTTATCTCACAAGCATTAAATTTACTCAAAATATTATTTTGAATCCTAGTAAATTATAATAGTAATAAATATTAAATTAAAACAAAAATTTTGTTTGTCACATATTCAAAAAAAGTAATCTTGCAGTCATAATCAATTCTTTTTTTGATAAAATTTTATAATATTGTTGTAAAGAAATAAAATTTTTCTTTTAAGTAAAGTACTAATATATACTCGGACATGTACCTAATCCTAGACATTTTTACTGTTTTAGTTATAAATATTTAAACTTTCAACATAAAAAAAAATATATATATAACTATTAAGTTTATATATACATAAATTCTATGTTGAAAATTTAAATATTTGTATTTAAGAACCAAAATAATAAGCATGTCCAGGATTAAGTACGTGTCCGGGAAATTGGTACTCTTAAATTACATGATAATCTTTGAAAAAAATAAAAGCTTCTTCTCAAATTTACACTTAAAAAATATTTTACTGATCCAGATAGAACTCTAAATATCACAGTTATGGCCTATAGGAGTGTCAGTCGCTGGACATTTGTGGGAATACTTTTAAACTACGAGAAGATAATAATGTATGATTATGTGATAACACATATCGAATATATATATATCCTAATTAAACTATACAATACCAATTGATATATATCCTAATTAAACTATATAATACCAATTGATTCTTTTTAAAAGTTGCAAGAAAATACTGTGAGGCTATTCTCTATTTGCTCCAAGTCGAGCACTGTATCCATTTGCTTACTGAGGCTTCGACATTATTCTTTATAACACACAAATGTTTATAAATCATATTGGATTGAATATAAACTAAACACTTCTTCCGTCAGCGTACCAAAGAACAAGCTATATAAACAGGCTCCCAAAATATACAACCAAAAACATTAAAAAAATCTATGAATCTATAGCAACTCAATAATCTATAGAATTGATCAACAGTGTGATGTGGTTGGAGTAAATCTTCTCTTGATTCAATAACAATGTTATTGAAACAAATATAGTTATTTAAACGATATATGATATATTTGTTTAAATAAATGAAATATTGATCTCTCTCTCTCTCTCTCTCCTCCTTCCTCTCCATTCCCCCTCTCTCTTTCTCTCTTATTAACATATTACTATTAAATGAAGAAGATTTAATTCAATCATATCGCGTTGTTGACAAATCGTTAATTTATTCTAGATAATAGCCAGGGCAGACACTTTAAATTTATGGTTTATGACGATATATGTCACATATATAGAGAAAGAATTTAATGAAATATTTCATTATTCTCTTTGAATGAATGTAAAGCAGCTCATTTAATTCGGGAGAAAAATTGTGTTAAGTTTCTTACATTGCTACACTTGACAACTCGTTTGGTTACCGTTACTTTTCGTGACAATCAAATCAACATTACAGTTAATAAATTTTGCTGAATACTTAGCTCGTTTGATATAATGAAGAAATTACAAGAATATCAAAATTGCGCTGAAATTAAGGCAATTCGCCATACATAATTAGGCCCGTAATTAGAGCCTCACTCGACTCGATTCTAGTTGTTCTGATCAATTTTTTTGTATAAGGTATCTAAGCTTCCTATGAGAATTTAATAAAATAAATAACGAACATTTCGCAGCAATCTAATAACATAGAAAATTATTGAATTCTGCATCACAGTTTTGATTCGCCAAGCTAGCGTGATTTCTAATTGTAGCAGTGTATACTTCTCTTTCCATGAGTCCCGACTAGAAATCGATTTCCTTTTCAGCTTCGTGCAGGAATTCGCGTCGCCGCCGGCGGACGGGATCACCTTGCTGCTGGAGACTCTGCGCGGCGTTCAACTGGCTCAGAGCTCACCGCCGAACTCGGGCCAGACCGGGCCCAGAGTCGGCACCAGGAGGGCTGCCTTGGACGAGTTGGGGTGCGTGGAGTGCTTGGCCGCGTGCGGCGAACGTTGCGCGGACGCGCCGCGACTCTTGGTGCAGGCGCAACCCGGCCTCCTGGCTCTCGCGGTCTGTCTGACCAGTAGCCTGAACCGGTCTCGAGTTCTGGCTCTTCAGGTAACAATCGCCACTTCCGCTCGAACGCGCAAAGCGCCGCGATACCGTTAGATAAAAAGAAGCGATTAGAAGCTGCGAGTGTGCCGCGAGCGTCGCGGCGAAATAACGCGCATTTCTTTTCCCTTCTTCTCTCCACGAGGACTCGCATAGGAATTGTCGTGTAGTCGCCAGGACTGCACTTTGGTCGACGAATGCGATTCAACGTGTGGCGTTATATCGGTTTCATAGCTAAATATGTGCCTATTAGCAGCTACACTTTTAAATATTCATACTCAAAGTGGTCACAGCGAAATATAGATACAAGAAATTTGTTAAAATATATAAATTATTAATAAAAATACTGCGATATCACATATCTTTTATATTTAATCAATATAGATGGCAGAGACAGAATTTCTATCTGAACTATTTGTAAAATTTTATGAGAAAATCTCTGCGGCGTTCATCCAGATTAAGACTAGTCTCACTTCTTAAAAGTGATTGTGATAAACAAAAAAGACAAGCGACGAGAGGCAAATTAATCTATAATCTTCACATCCATCTTGAAATTTATATGTTGTTGTTGAAGCTATAAAATAAAATATACAGAGTAAGCCATTTTAATCAATTTATTGAAATTTTTCAATTTATTGAAATTGAAAACCCTTAAGTTTGAGACCAAAATATTTCAGACAAAAAGTTGTTCAGTTGTTAGAGGAAAAGAAAATGACCTTAGGTGACTATAAGGTCATTTTCACCTCAAGCGATTACTTGTGATAAGTATATTTTAAACCTGTTATCAGAGAAAATTTTGTTGGTTGAAGATAACTGTTAATTAAAAATAACGAAGTAAACTGAGTAATCGCTTTTCTTAATAGTGCAATGATATTTTTCTCTATGTACACACTCTCTCTCTTTTCTCTCTCTTCTCTCTCTCTCTCTCTCTCTCTCTCTCTCTCTCTCTCTCTCTCTCTCTCTTTGCATACTGTATTCAAGTAAATGCATCAAGTAAATACTTGTTTCAAGTATTATATAAATTTATACATCCGCAAATCTATCTTATAAGTTTATTACAAAAGTATCAAATTCATTCAAAATACATTTTGAATCTTAATAGGTTTAACATAACATCAAGTATATTAAATTAGAATAAATGGGACCTTTCAGGTCACCTCAAGATTAAATCAAGATCACGTACAAAATTTTAAATAGGACCCTTCATAGGATTTTTATAGTTTATTTCAAAACCTTTTCAAGACACACATATTATGCATTTGTCTCTTTTCGATAAATCATTGCTGAGATATGATATTTGCGCCGATAATAGATGTATATTTGCATTTTGGTTATATGGAAAAAAAATTATAGTTTACAAGATCATTTCCATGATAAGAATATAGAGGTGAGTTGTCTTCACTATGTTTGTATATTTAGTAGCAAAGATTAGTTGTCTGAAAAGTGCTGACATCGATATTCTGATCCTATTAATCACACTAAATTTCCTATCACACGCTATCGAGCGTATCGCGCTCGACATCGAGAATTTTCATTTGCTGCTCAAAATGTATACGTTATGTATACATTTACATATACAAATGTATACGTTATTATGTACATTTCAATGCAGCTTACGAGGTACAACGAGGAAACCGATCGTAAGAAGTTGTGAGATATCGACGATAATAATAAACCGCGCGATACGCGATAAACTAGATTCGCATCGCGGATTCGTCGCGGAAGGAAACTGACAGCGATTGCTAATGCGAGAAATAAAGTGGCAGTGGGTCACTTGCTTCTCGTATAATACGTTGTTCTCGGTTCGATTGTACAGTGAGTTACAAAACGGTTTGGACACAATGAAGTTGGGAGCTCTCACCGAACCGTCAAAGTTGAAAGTCATTATTGCGTGTGTAACGAGTTCTTGCCCAGCAATTATATTATTCATTATTATTATTACTAATTATTATTGTTTGTTATACATTTTCTATAATCACAAAGGCATATTATGATGTTTTTTTATTAAAATATGGTAAACATAAATGTGACTTGACAGGACAATTATCATAGAATATCTTGTCATTTTTATGGAATGATTTTTTGTTAATTTTGTAACAAATTTTTTAATAATTATTTGATAAAAAAGAAAAAGAGAAAACACTAATCGCGCTACAGAGCTGCTATTATTATTTATTATTATTTTGTGTTTATAATTATATTATTTTTTATATTACTTTTGTGTAAGTCTGTCGGTACTCAGAGGAAAATATTATTTCACTGCTAAGAAAAGCAAATATTCAGTTTATTTTCCTATTCTTAAGTAACACAGTTATCTTTTTGATCAAGAATGTTTTCTTGATAACAGTTTTAAAATATATTCGTCGCAACTTTTATGCAAGCTGATTATCATATGTTAAAAAAAAAAATTTATTCTTTCTACAAAAGAATATTTATTCTAATTTAATATGCTTGATGTTATGAAATGTTAAACCCACTAAGATTCAAAATGTATTTTGAATGAATTTGATACTTTTGTAATAAACTTATAAGATAGATTTGCGGATGTATAAATTTATATAATACTTGAAATAAGTATTTACTTGATGCATTTACTTGAATACAGTATGCAAAGAGAGAGAGAGAGAGAGAGAGAGAGAGAGAAAGAGAGAGAGAAGAGAGAGAAAAGAGAGAGAGTGTGTACATAGAGAAAAATATCATTGCACTATTAAGAAAAGCGATTACTCAGTTTACTTCCTTATTTTTAATTAACAGTTATCTTCAACCAACAAAATTTTCTCTGATAATAGGTTTAAATTATACTTATCAAAAGTTTTATAGAAGCTCATTATCATGTATTCTAAAGCTTATTATGTATATGTTATGTAAGCATGTATATAAAAGTTCATTATTATGTATTTAAAAGAAGTATTTATTCTTTTTACAAGAATCTTTGTTTCTTGTTAACCTTTATTCAACAAAAACTTATGGTTCATTTCTATGTAGCAAGCAAACCGAATTTTTATTTTAATTCAATATTTTTGAAATGCTAAACCTACTAAGATTCAGAATCTATTTTGGGAAAATTTGATCCTTTCATAATGAACCTGTGATAGATCGCAGATATATAAACTTACTTATAAAATACTTGAAACAAGTAAAACTTATTTGAATGTAGTATGTATTTTTCTGTGTATGATGACTCTCAATTTCGACAGTTTGATGAGCTCCCACCTTCGTTGTGTCTAAATCGTTTTGCAAGTTACTGTACGCGGTCCAGTTTTCCGTGTCCGCGTCTTTGAGCCGCGCAGTCGTAAACGCGTGTTTCGAGTAAAGGTAATAACGTTCGGCGGGCCGCGACCCGTTATTTCGAAGGTACTCACCGTCGAAACCAGTTTTTATCGTTTATCCACCAAACGTTATTCGGTCGCGCGAGCGCGTCGACTTCATTTGCAAACTTACACGTGTCGAGGATGTTTCTCTCCTTCCTTTTTACCTGCCGACTCTCAGGATGTGTATCTTACGAGCAGATATCGCGCGCTACGATCAGCGCGCTCGCTTATACGAGGCGGATAATTACTTCCACGGCACGTGATCATTCCGCAAAATTGCGAACGTATGAGAAAAATGCCCGCATTCACTCGTGGTGAAAACACAACAAAAAAAAAGGAAAAGAGAGTAGTGAAGCTTCACCGAGCGAGAAATATTTCACGATTCTTTTGACGAATATGCAACTGGATTCTTTCTCGTCATGGAAGACAAATTTTGCTATTGTAACTAAAAATCTTGCTGAATCTACACTGAGAGAAAATACTTGAAAATTTACTTGTGGAATGTAAAGTTTACTTCTATGTGGCAAACTTTTATCTCACAAATAAATTATCAAAAGTATTTTTCTCAGCGTATAGGTGCGAGATATTTAATCAAACATATTTGTGTCTCGAGATAACTTATCGTTATCGTATTGTCGAGCATTATTATTCTAATTATTCTTAGTTTAAATATTCGCACTAATATTCAGCTCCCATTGACTTTTTCTTTCTATCTTCAGTTATAGTATATTTTAAAATTTCGAAGTTACAACTTCTTAAGCAACTAATTACTGACTGTATAAATAGAGATAACCTTCTTCTATGTATTAATGTCTACGATTCTGTTAATCGTATATTTCTTTTGTAAAAATTAAAGTAGAAACATGTAGCAACATAGCTATCTTGCTCTGGTACCGAATTCAATTGCCCAGCAAAGCGGCAGAGTAAAAAGGCCACCTATAAAATATATATCCTAATTAGTAGTTCCAGAATTTTCGCGAGAGGTCTCCTGCCGGTCCTTAATTATGGGCTAACTTTACCCCGTCCGCTCCATATGTTCTATTTCAATCATTTTATGAATGAAAATTGCATTTATTGCTAAAAACAATATATTATACACTTATAAAAAATTTCATTCTAACTAGTAGTACATCGCTTAATTTTATTCATTTACGATAAAGAATATTAATAGAAAATTTCGAGAGGCTCGAAAATTTACTTTGCTATTACCAAATCAGTCTCTTTCATTTCTTAACTGTAATATTTTTCTGAATTCAATGAAACTCAGGGAAAAGTATTTATGTTCTAAAGAGACCATTTCGCAACTTTGTATCCCTGAACAACATATCCCTGAAGCTATATAGCCCCGTCTCCTCTATATCTGAAAATATATTTGTTCTCTTCGTGTTGAGTTCCGCGATGCACGTGACAAGTATGCACAAGATAAATACGATGATTATGTGTTTGCAGCTCTTGACGAAAGTGTGCCAAGCGCCAGGTGGACACGCAGCTGTTTCGGAAGCGGTGTCGACTCTGAGACTCAAATATGGTGAAGGAGGGAGATTCCGATTTTTGGCAGGTGCCCTTCTAGCCCCCCGAGCAGCCATCGCGCTGAGAGTCGCAGGGGTTTCGTTTCTGAATGCCTTTTTGAAATCCGCGCCTCGCACGCAAACCAAATTGTACATTCAGGTAAAAACCAAAACAATTACTTTTGATACTCGATATGTTTATTTCGGTTTTTTTTTTCTTTCTACATATACATAACGTAACGTAACGTAAACTCAAAGGGAAGCTCACTGCGTGATTAATCATCTTGACTAATAAAAAGTTAGAAGTGAAATGATACATTCTCAAGATTCTTGCTAAGTATGTTGAAATGAAAAGACACACTCATAAATTGTCACATACGATTGACTGTGAACGGATCAGTAAAATATTTCGAAAACTTTCCTCTTACTGTGATAATCGCTAAATAGTCATAAAATTAACGTGACATGTGGCTTACTTTTTAACTATGTGATTTTGTCACGTTAATTTTATGGCTATTTCTTGGTCATTGCGGCAAAAGGAAAGTTTCCAAAATATTTTACGTATTCGTCAAGTTGACTGCATTATTATACAGAAGTATTTTTTCAACTTTTTATTTCATTTCTATGAAATATATAAATACATTTATTTATTTATATTAACTAAATATTATTAATTTATTAACATGAAATAAATAAATAAACTTTTATTTATATATATAATATTTATATTTATATATTTTATTATTTTCTTAAATAAATAAATAAAGTTTTACTTATTATTTACCATCATTTATTTATTTATTACAATTTTTATTTTAACGTATTTTTCAAGAATTTTTAACACATTTTCTCGCTCTTGACGTCATGATCTAAAATGGCCGCGAGTTTGGCAAGACTACTACGCTAAAAAATACTTGAAAATCTATTTGTGATATAAAGGTTATTTTATAGAAATCTTCCTAAACAATACAGATTTCGACAGGACATTCTAAAAACGTTTTGTGAATAACCTTACATCTTGAGAACGTTCTTAGAATATCTTTTACAGACCTTATGCTGTCTGGATTATATTCTACGAATAAATCTTCAAGTATTTTTTCTCAGTATAATACTTTGATATGATACTGATTTAATAAGTCCTAGTAGCATAATTCATTGACGTTGGCCATATTGGTTACATTGATATACATTAGGTCAATATAGCTAATATATAACCAATATTGGTTATAAATAGAATTAAATAAATTGTCAGTATTGCACAAAATAATTGTACCAATATTGGTATATTCTGAGGGCACATCAGACCAATATAATTCAATATATAGCCAATATTGTTCTAACCCACACAGCAGGAATATCTCAAATACATCATAGGGATATCTTCAAGATATCACATATCCCAAATATATCTTTAGGATGTCTCTATGATATATTTTGGACACCTCTGCTATGTGGGAATGAACTGTGCTAGAGATGTTTATATCTTCGAGAAAAATGATCTGCGTATATTTTACATCTTATTATCTTCACACAATATATAATTTGCTTTTATTACTTAAATTATATTACTATTAATTATTAAATTATATTACTATTAACTATATAAAACTATTTTTATTATATTAATACCATTATTATTATATCAACATTACTATTTATATTTGTTTTAACTTTCAGGCTGAAGCCTGCGAAGCTGGCTTAGAGCCGCAGGTTCTTCAGGACTGGTTGAGGGAATTCGACGGACACGAGGAAGACACGCTGACCGATCTGCTGCACAAGGAGGTTCAGAAGTGGACGCACAACTGCGTCGATGTGGAAGCCCTGCAGCGCAGGGTGATACGCGCTGAGGAGACCTGCCGGATACTCAGCAAGAAAGTGTCGCTTCTGCAGGTGCAACTAGAGAAACGGAACGATTGCAATTTAGAAGAGCGGGAGAAAACCGCGCCAACCATTCATGCTGCTGCCACTGTCACCGTCGCCAAAAGCCCGAAAGTGTCCTCAAACGCGGAGGACGAAGGTATCAGTTCGTCGGAGAGATCCAGTAGCCCCGAAGATACGAAACATCAAGCGCGAAGTAATCGACAAAAGACCTCGCCCACGCAGAGCAACGATCAGGAGACAACAATCGACGACGTGATCGAAGAGCTGAGGATCATCGTGAAGGACGCCGAGGAGAAGTTCAGCGACAAGACTCAGGAGTCAAACCGAGGTCCAGGGGACGTCGACCAGGAGATCGTCCGCAATCACCAAGAACCCACCAAGAACAAACTCTACAGATCAAACTCCAAAATCTCGTTGAACAACTCCGAAAGCTACATATACGACAAGATCGCGAAGAAGGATCTGCGCACGGACTCGAGGATGCTGAGGTCGCACGCGGGCTCTAACGCCTCACAGAGCCAGCTGAAGGGCGAGCAGGTGACTTACTTTGGCAACGATCAGGACTACAGCACGGATTCGAGCGCGACAAAGAGGCTGAGTCCTAATGGGCCGCGCAGGATGTCCAAGTCGTCGATGGAGGGCAGCGTGAAGATTGTTGTGAAGGGGCCAGACGTGGAGGAGGCGATAGTGCCGGCTATCCTGCACCCGCAGCCGCCACGAAGAACGCCACCCTGCCTGTCGGCCATCATGGCCGCGAGGCATTGCGACTTCACCGATCACGCGGAGACGTACAACTCTCACGACGAAGAAGTGGAGGAGGAAACCTTGGGCGACGGTAGCGACTCGTTGTTGAGTGCCTCCAGGCTCAAGTACAACGGCAAGCACCAGCTGTACGATGGTCAGATGAGGGCCGTGATCACCGATCAGCCGCAGAAACAGACCAAGAGCGATACCGTGCTGATGATCGGCCCTGGCCAGATTGACGTGAAGTTCAGGAAGAGCCTGGACGATCTGCGTCACTTCGAAGAGAGCGATACGAAAGATAAGAAGATCACACTGAGAAGCTACGAGAACAACTCCAAGTCGAAGGACGTGCGGCCGCTCAACAGGCAGATCGACATTTACAGACAGTTCGAGTCGAGTCCTAAGGGGTTCGAGACGTCCTCCGGGCAATCCGATCATCGGATGGTTCACCGACACAGTTCCAAATATAGAAGCGAGGTGGAGAAGCGGAAGTATTTGCGCCGCTCAGCCAGCCACGATTACCTCGAGTCGAACGTGTCCAGTCCACAGTCGAGACGATCAGGTAGCCGAGTGGAGTGTCGCATTCGAAAGTTCGAGAGCCTCAACTCCTTCGATGAGCACCGTAGTTTGCAAAATTATGGGCGACTGGACGGCACAGAGAACCTCGGCAAACGGGAGCAGCCGCTGCTCTTGGCCGACAGCTCTTCCAGAACCTCGAAGATGCGTCGATCAGAGTCCTTTCATCACGTCTCGTACGTGTCGAAAAAGGATCAGTGCTCGTCAAGGGGGGAAAGCGATAGCGCTCTCTTCTACATCACGGACTTCAATTTGGAGCCGCTCGTCGCGAGGAGACCGCGATCGATCGACGCGCCCAAGTCGCCCAGTCTACTGACGAAATCCTTAGATAGAATCGACGAGGGCCTGGACTCGATGGTCGACATCGTGATCACACAGGAGCAGAATCAATGGAACGCCGGTGGCAAGCATATGTCGAGGACAGGCAAGCCCCGCGATGAGAAGCAGCTGATAAGATCGAAATCGGTCAGAGCCGACAGTCTCTGCGACGACTCCGTGGACTTTGAAAAGCAGACGAGGCGGGAGAATTCAAAGCCTAGGAGCCTGAAGAACGACGAAATGTATCGCGTCAACAATAAGCAGCTGAGAAGCGACGAGCTCTACGAAGAGCAGCGAACGCGCGAATGGAATTATCACAACGAACTGAATTACGCGAGAAACAAAGGCGACATCAGCCCAGAGAATTCGCCCGTGATATTGCCGAAAAGCGGCATGAGGCATAACTCCTTCTGCCATATCGACAAGCTCGGCAACAAGTTCTCTAGCAAGTCAAACGAATCCGGGATCTTTGCCGGGCGAACGTACGACACTTTCGGTCTCGGAAAGAGTCGTTTCAATGCGGGAAAATACTCCGGGAATCAGCAGATCAAGGAGAGTCCTATCGGCCGAAGGAATACGACTTCATCATTAATTGGAAAACGCGGAAAGGTCACGGATGTCGTCTCTGGTCTTTACTAAATGCGTAACTTTCTAAGCAGCGCAAACTTCTAGATAACGTCTAAAAGATGTCTTAAAGGCGTACAAAATATACTTCTTAGATCGGTATTAATAAACGTTACTTGAAATTAGCTTCATCTGAGATATGCGAATATGAGCTAAATCTGAGTTTTTCATTTGAATGGTATGTGTGATATATGTGACACCAGATTTGTAATTGTAATTTTCTTGAAAACTCACGTAATGATTAGTAATAGTAAGTCCGTATTAATAATCGTTACTTAAAACTTGTCCTACGTGCTCAAACTTGAGATCTGCTTAGACGTGAGATATTAGAATAGTGAGAGAATCTCTGGAGGAGATTATAAGAAGTTAAAGAAATGACATAAGTTGGGGTTTAGAGTGTATTGTAAGTTTTGGGAAGAAGATATGGATTTTTTGGCGGCATCTCCAGTATGGAACGAGTCGTAAAGTTTCTCTTTTCGTCTTATGATCGCGTGATTGAATCAGAAGGTCGTGAGATTTTTAAACACGGGTATTTCGCAGTTGTATGGTTCAATATCTAATCTTTGTATTCTGCTGTGCGTAAATGTGCACGTGCATGGGTGTTTGTGTGGTTGTCGTATATTCTTATAATTATTTGGATCTTGCAATTCTGACGGATTACGAGATTAAGAAAACTCGCGATGAGTCGTGCCATCTTTATTGTGTGAGGTCGAAGTATCAGTTTACAAAAGTTTCCCTTTTATTACGCATAATTTTGAAGGCTGCATTCGACAGACAAGTCTTTGTTATTCATACTTACTCTGGCATATTAAAAGAAAATAAAATATCAAAAGGATTTTTAATTATTTATTTTAGTGAGTCACAGCGATACGTATATCGTGAGCAGTTTCTAAAACTTTCATGCCTTGTCGATATTTTTTCTATCATTTTCAACTATTCTTTTGTTTGCCTTCCTTTTTCGTGGGAAAAATAAAATATTTCATATAGAATTATACACAAACGTTTCCCGAATGTAACTACATAAAGATGTTACAAGAACTTTGCATGCAACATCGCCCAAATTTGCCTTTATATGAAGTTCTTTAACAAAGTCTTAGCCATGTGAGAAAGGTAAAAAACATTGTCGGATCTTATGAAATGACAAATGTAGCATACTGTAAAAAGACTGCGAAACAAAAAGTGGCCAAAAATATACTGCATCACTTGGTAGTTTCACAAATATATTGCCAAAAGATACTACAAAAAACTCACTACAAAAAAGAAAAGTTCTTGTAGTTAATATTTCAAATTTGTAGTTAATATTGCGCCAATGAACTCTACTACTAGGGTACGTTTGACTTGCGAAAGTACAACGTCACACATAGACACACGTCACTCCAGCGCAAAGAATTAAAACAGTCTATTTTTTGAGACATCTTTTAGATATCTTTTAAAAGTTTGTGATACTTAAGTGGATATCATGCAAAACTCTAGATAATGAAGAAGAGTTGAAAGAGAGGGCTGCAAACGATTCATACAGTCTTTATCCGTGTAACATTTTGTATCATCCATATTAATCCATAACTTCCTCCATGTATAGAGAGAGACAATATTTGTTTAATTTATTTAAGATTGAAGTAGCGCTGGTCACATTGAAATAATCTTTAAGTTAATAATTAATTAATAGAAACGCGTTTAATCCAGATTCTCTGGATATATTAGAGTACTGAAGACGAGGATAATTTTTTGAGTGCAATATTTTAGACTATTATTACGACGCTACACTCTTGTAGTAATTTACATTTACATCGAGTACACAACGAATATGCATTCTCTGTTAATGATAAATAATTTCCCTGGTGATGGGCTCCAATGTGCCTTCACTACATTGTGTAGTATAGTTCTTCGTTAAAAACGATTGTATATGCAATGGTAGTGCAAGTGCCAACCAAGACTGTATTTCGTAAAGAGAGATTTTTACATATTTTATATTATATATGTATATATATACAAATATGTATATGGAGACGATCAAAATTATATATGATTGTTAGGTGTCGTAACAAAACGAGACTTTACGAGCAAAACAATGCACAGGTTTTACTAACTTCCAAATTTTAAGAAATCACTCCTCGTATTTAAGCGGTAAGGATGTAAGACTTTGCACTAAGAAATGACTTTATTATTTCTACAAAATAATGTCGCTTTTAATTTATTGTTTCTCTCGTGTACTTAATGCCAGTTAAATAAGGATTACAATTACATTAGATGTTTAACAAAACTTCAACGTCTTTATTTTCATATCGATATAAGTATATAAGATTGAATAAGAGAGGGGATACGCATTTTCACATACTTTATATAAATAGAATATCACGACGTGAGAACTTTGATGAGTGTGAATATCGATTCGCTTTATTAATTTCAACTCGCGGTTGCGTGCAGGAGGGTACTCGTAACCTCACTGAGGTCATGGCAGGAACCACGTATATTCCGATGAACCATCTCTGAGTTACCTAATGTTAAAGGTACGTATGACTTGTCGTGCGTATGATCGAGAAGCTGTTGCGAAGATTTGTCTGAAAATAAGGTAACATAATTTTCTTAATTCCATTATAATATTGAACGTGCAAAATTATGATTAACGACTCGATTACCTTGAATGGTTGATAACAGATAAGAGAGCTCTTCCTGAGTAGAAACGTACTGAAACTCGTCACCGCAGGCACCTTTCAGAACGGTAACGACATCTGATCGTGGGTTGTAAAAATACAGACCCTGCTTGCGGCTACTAAATTCGTTAATTAACGTTTTTATACCCTGTATCAGGAAAAACACAAGTTAGATTTCAAGCAAATTTGCAGTATCTGGTCGCATTAGTTTCAGGGTATTCAATTCTAGCGAATCTCATACATATATATATGTCTAAAAGACGCTTTGAGACATTTCTTAGGTCTATATTAATAATTGTTACTTGTCTCAAATAAGATACTCAGATTTGAATTTAGGTTAGATGTGAGTTTTCCAGTCGCTTTATGAATTATAATTCATGATCCTACACACATTGTATGATTAAAATAAAAAATTCATCTATTAGATCTGAATATATTAGATGAGACAAGTTTCAAATAACGACTACTGACAAGTCTTAGATATCTCAGAGTTATCTCAAGATATCTTAAGATCTCTTAATGTCAGATATTTACCTTAGCAGCTGTAAAATCTGCCCCTAAAATATATCTGCAGTCGACGATAACCGGCACTTGACTAGATCCTTGCTTTATACCAGCATTGCCGACTGATTGCTTGATAAAATCGACAGCTGGGAAGTACAGGCTGTTTCCTGGAGTGACCAATAAGTACTCGGCACCCTGATCAGTCTACGACAATCGCAATACGCAATGAAAGAGAACTTAAAAGTAAACATTATTTAGGAAAGAAAGATCTCCAATACATTCGTTAGCTCCAAACTACTTACTGTGCGTTTATCGACATGAACGGTAGGCCTTGCGGAAGGATACAGTAGAAACATCAAATTTGTGCCAACTCCCAGCAAGATACCATATTCCACGCCAATAGCGAGACAGAACAAGAAAGTAACAAACATCGGTATGAGATCCTTCTTGCTCGATCTCCACATAAGCTTGACAACTTCATACTCGATCATATATATCACCGCGCAAATAATCACGGCTGACAACGAAGCTGAAAAAGAAGAGTAAAGAGTGATAACAACAAATTGATATTTAATCAACACTGTCTACGGCGACGTTGACTGTATCATGAAGACAAGTTTTCGCTACCTTTTGGAATAAAGTAGAAATATGGTGTGAGCAAACTGAGAGCCAGCAAGATCAAGATCCCGGTGTACAGTCCGCCCATCGGCGTCTTTACACCGCTCGCGTGATTCACCGCCGATCTACTGAACGAGCCTGTGACCGGCATTGAGCTCGCGCAAGACCCGAGAACATTGCAGATGCCGAGGGTCAGTAGCTCCTGGGTGGCGTCTACTTTGCCGCCGTTCACGAAAGCCTTGGCTATGGCGACGTTGCCGAGTACGGCAATTATGGGCACCAACACTATGGAAGTACCCAGTTCCGAACACATTTGTGTGAAAGTGAGGGTCTGATTGTTCACCCGTGTAGAGAAGGGTGGCAGGCCGAGAGGCGGAAGACCGGATCTCACGGGACCGGTCAGGATGAACGGAGATTCAGACTCGGGCGAGTGAAATTTGTAAGCAATGACAGAGCAGACGATAACGATAATAGCGTTCCGTGCCGTGGAGATCAGCCATATCGTCTTCGTGATTACATGCTGATAGCTCTTCGGTTTTTTGCCGCCGGCGTATAGCTTGATGTCCTTCATTTTCTGCAAAGCCGACAAAACATGTCAGAGAGAAAGAGAGACGGTGAGACGATAAGACGGCGCGCGAACGTTGAACCAATATCCATGCATTACCCTGAAGAACAACAGGATCGCGATGCAGGAGAAGCTCATCGTGGCGTCCCAGAGACTCGCGTCGCTGATGTTTTCAAACACCTTGGCCAGAGTGTCCAGAAATCCCTGCGACGAGATTTTCAGGCCTAACAAGCCTTTCAGTTGAGAGGCGACGATTATAACGGACGTCGCCGACGTGAAGCCCACAGTTACTGGTATGGAGATGAAGTCTATAAGAACACCTGTAAAATCGTTTCTCGCGTGAGACGAGCAACACTTCTCAATACAAAGTGAACACATTGACTGCCAAATACGAGTTAGTTCATAGCCGCTGTACGAGAAGAATTCTCTGTCTCATACGCCAACTACAAGTTAACTCGCATAAATCTTTTTTTCTTTTTTAAGTTCTGCCAAATAATAAATATAATTACAAAAGCAATTAAAAACCAATTAACATATTAAAATATAAATTAAAGAAAATTATGCTAATTTTTAAATGGTAAGAAGTCATTTTAAAATGGCTGATTTTTAAGTGATCGGAAGCGAAGTTCCATAATATGGAGCACTGTAGCAGTCAACATGTTTACATATTGAGTCTCATAATGGACATCAGTAACTAGTACACTTTATGATACGTCTCATTGAGTCATTATTATGAAGTATAATCAATTGCAATTTGAATAATTAGCTGTACGACCAATGGATAAAAAGTTGCGATACTTTAACCTCGATTAGTTGCGCTACGTCTCCTATATTCAATAGAAGAATTAGTTTTTCCGTACAATTTTCACGAGATATATTTTCTTACTAGACACCGGATGCGTTCTAAAGTTTATCTAGGCAAAAAAGATATTGCAATCTTTTTTCCACCGATTGTGCATTGCCAATAGGGAACTGATAAAACGAGGTAAAAAATATATCTCGAATTATATTTATCCATCGTATTTTTGACAAAACTCAATCGTCGGTTAAGCTTTCGTACAATCAGCAGAAATTAACGCGACATTCGACGTGTTAAATCATTTCTGGACAAAATAATTATTGCTTACAAAGTGATACGCACGCAAAACAACTTTGCAGTCTTCATAACCAATCTCGCGGGTTTTAATAATGGACAATGTCTTTCTCATTCGAGATTTACTTTCTATCGTGTCTCGCTCAAGAGTTAAAGCGACTCCACACACACTGCTCTCTTACTAGCTTGACCCGCGCCATACCTAAACGCAAGCATGCCATTAATAATTGCAGGCAGCCGGATAAGAATGCGAGAAGTATGGCGAAATCGGCATTTCTCCCCTGCACGTAATCGTGCGTCATTAGCGCCATGAGCGCGGTAGGACCGATCGTGATGTCCTTACAGGAGCCAAATATCACGTAGACCATTGCCCCCATGAATGCCGAGTACAGGCCATACTGGAAGAGAAGAAAATGTTGCATATTAACAATGTAATTTCGACAGGCGAGCTGTGTGTGTTCGACGCGAAGCGAGAAGCAGAGAACGCGGCTTATCCAAGCGTGTTAATCCGCTCATTACGAATAATCTCCGCGTTACTCGTAAAATTCACCGGCATATCACATCGCGGCAGCCGAAATTAATGACGCTCAAGTTGATAGCTGTGCTATCAAAAGTGGACTAGAGACAGACCAAAACACGATCCGTTACCTTCCTCACACTGAATGCTCGATTTTAGGGAGTATCAAGTTGGTACAAAAAGATTTGTCATCTCTTTATTCAATTTTTGTGAGATATTTGGTCATTAAAAGGAAGACAGGAAGTCCTCGTTGGATGTCTAAAAAAATACCGACTCGATGTTGCTAATTTCATTGCTAAAGATTATTAATCCTTCGAAATTGGGTAATTTCGTCTCCTGTTTTATCTGACAAATATGAAAAACCTTCTGCAGCAACTTAACAATAATTGAAAAATATGATTTCAGGAGATAATATACGTAGAATAAAAGAAGATTGTTAATTTCAACTTTTTAGTGCACCAAATGCATTCAATTTCAAGTAAAGATACTCGATTCAGAATGCAAGGAGAGAATATTATAGCCTTTTTATAAATTTTACTCAATTTTACTATATTTCCAGTAGAAATAGACTGTCTCCCTTGTCAAAGAATATAATAAATTTCGTTCGAAACATAGTAAATTTTTTAATAACACATTTCAGTTCCTAAGATATGAATAACACATATAAAACAGAAGGATAGTCAATTATTGCAGAATATCGATCTATACTTCAGTTCCTTGCTCATAATATCCTGTTTGTATTAATAACTTCAATTCCTTCAATACAATAACTTTAATTCCCGTAGTACCATTGCTTATCGATGCAAATAACAAATAGTTTCGGAGATTTCTTGAGACAAATCGAGAATAAAGTTAATATTTTCTTCGCAAAAAAATAATAGCACGATTTTGTTTTACATTCAGTAACAAAAAATCGAGAAAAGAGAATTAAGTCTCAGAGTTACGCATATGCTATCACACAAATCACGATTGAGTTATATTAAAGAAAAACCGTGTCAAATGAACAACTTTACATAGAAATTTGAATTATAAAATGTGGTCAGTAATAAAAGTTTAACGAAACTGAAGTGTAGTTGTGCATACAATGCATTCTCTAAATTTCTCAGAGTGAAATCTCACCTGGAACAAGTAAAAATTCACTCGATATTATAGCGAACATGCCATCGATCGAAATCACAAGAGTGAATGTTTAATTCGAACCTAGAATAAATTCTCAGTCGATACGAGTAAGTGTTCCAATCACGATTAGAATGAATTTATTCCGACGAATGGAAGTACACTTGTTCTCAAAACGATTTTGAGAGCAAAGCCAATGATCCTATGAAACAACTTGTTTTCCATTAATTCCCAGAAGTTATATTTTCTTATTAGGTCATGAGCTGTGTTCCAAATTATATTGAACAAAATGTGTTTTGAAAACCAGTGTACATAAAATTCCAGTGAAAATACTCGCTCGACGACTTAGACTGCAAGGAGAGAATATGGTAGCCTTTTTTCATATAAATTCTTTTCAATTTTACTGTTTTTAATAACACAGGAATAAACTGTCAATAAGGTCTCTGTTGCCAAGGAATATAGTAAATTTTGCTCGAAATATAGCAAATTTTTTTAATAACACATTTTAATTCCTAAGATATAAATGTATATAAAACATATATATAGTACATATAAAACAAAAGGATAGTCAATTGTTGCAGAAATTGGGTAATTCCCTTTTCTATTTTATCTGACAAACAAAAAACATTCTGCAGCAACTTAATAATAATTAAAAAGTATGATTTTAGAAAATAATACACAGAATAGAAGAGAAGATGGTTAATTCCAATTTTTTGCTGCACCAAATTCACTCAATTTCAAGTGAAGATACTCGTTTGACGATTCAGAGAATAAGTAAAGGATATCATAGTCTTTTTTATATAAATTTTCTCTTTTTAATTTTATTATGTTTCCAGTAGCACAGAAGTAAATTGTCGATAAAATCTTTTTTACCAAAACATAGTGAATTTAAAATACCAAATTTTTTAACAGTTTCTTTTAATATTTCAGCTTCTGAGATATGAATAGCGCACATAAAACTAAAGGATAGTCAATTACTGCAGAATACCTATTTTCCAGTTACAAATTCTATGCAAGTTTTACTACAAGATTCTCTTCGTGCGAAGAGATCGCTCTATGTGAATGAAAAATCATGTAAATTCGACTGAATTTTTTGCTGAAAAGATCAGCACGATCAATTCGCCACGTGTAATCCTGAAATGCAGTTCGTTTAACTGGACTCGAATTGTGCCCGACTGATTTTTTTCATAATGTACCTGAGGCTCCAAGCCGGCCAGTGTTGCGTACGCGAGTCCCTGCGGCATAACCGTGAGACCGACCGTGACGCCGGCAATAACGTCGCTGAGGAACTTCTCGGTGTTATATCTCGGTAGCCACGCTACAATCGGCATACGTTTGGACGCAAATCGACCTACAAGCTCGACGCAGCCTCTCGTTTTCCGTCGCTCAGCCTCGCACGCCATTCTTCCGGGTCAAGTCAGCTTCTTCAAAAATAAAGAACACAAAGACTGTATATCACGAATAAATAAACGAGCTCGTTATTTCAGATAGCCCTTGACGTGTGTCAGCCATGTGAGATTAACGAGTCGCAGATTAATATTTGTCTTAGTATAATGAGGAAGAGTACTGTCTGGAATTTCTTAAAAGAAAGCAACAGATTTAAAGGAGAAAGAAAAAAGACATGAAGCTTAATATTCATGAGCGTGTTTAACTGATAAACTTCGACTGCAGATATGTCATAAGTACTTGTAAAAGCTAAGAAATAATGTCTAATCTGGAACAAAGTATTCTCCCTCTTACTGAGTCATTGCAAAAAAGAAAAAGACAGTAAAAATATTTTTTGATATTATGTAAGTATATAATATCACACACAAATATTATATATGTATACTTTAGTACTTTTCAACTAAGTGAGACAAATAAGTCAATAAGGAATAGTTGGCATGATAATTTAACCTACGAGAGAATAATGTTTCATAGAGAAACGATATAAATAGAAAACACTTTCTCACAAGAAAACCCACACAAGTGTCTGCCTCCGATTTTCATAAACTTGTAATATGTTGTACTTTAGATAAAAATAACAAATACGTTTTTTATTATATGTGCAAGTTTAGGGGGTGAAATATCCCTTTGAAGAAAATCGGTTTTTTTCTTTCGAAGAGAATATAATAAAAACTATAAGAGATAGAAAAAAATATTTTGAATAAAAGTTGAATGGTCTGAAGAGTACTTTGCAAAAAAAAACAAAAATTTTTTTGTTAATATTTTCCCTATTAATTTTCCCATTTCTTTTTATTATAATTATTAAAATAATTTCTGTAAAATATTCTTCAAACCATTCAACTTTATTCAAAATATTTTTTTCTATCTCTCATAGTTTTCATTATATTTCCTTCGAATGAAAAAAAAAACGATTTTCTTTAAAGGGATATTTCACTCCCTAAATTTGCGAAAGAGCATATAATAAAAAACGTATCTGTAATTTTGATCTAAAGTACAACATATTACAATTTTATGAAAATCGGAGGTAGATACTTGTGTGGGTTTTCTTGTCAGTCTCTCGCAAACGTTTTCATCTCTTTTTAATCCTAACTTTTAAGAGGCTACCTTAACAGAAGTAAAAATTAAGTAAAAATTTGGGGAGTTATAAAAAGACATAAATTAGTAGGAGTACAATTTTTTGTTATGTTCTATTAACAATATATTGGTATAAAAACAATTAGATTTTATGCTGAATATTAACATCAATATGTCCATTTTAAATGCGTTCTGCAAGAGAATCATTCAACCACCCTAGACTCAACAGAAGTGATCTGAAATTAATATCAATAAATACATTTTTTTTTGTTCATTTGGGCAATAGAAATATCGATTCAAGGAGGCTTTCCGCAAATTTCAAAACTATATTATATTTATTTTTTTGCAAGCTCGAGTTTTTTAGTGGAAAGAAACTAGTTTGATTTTTCATAACTCTCATTCTGCGACAATTTTTTTTTTCAAAATCCACTTCGTAAAACCGATAACTCCGTGAACCGATAATTATAACCTTATTGAAGAAAAAATTTATTAATACTAATTTCAGATTACTCCTGTGGAGCCCAGAATAGTTATCATTCTATCTAAATATCTCACGTGGTACAAATTTCAAGTAATGACTATATTAATATGGACCTAAGACGCGTATTAATAAACGTTATTTAAAAATCTCATAAAATAAAGTACTCAGATTTGAATGTAAAGTTAAACGTGAGTTTTCCAGTTAAATCGCTATTACAAATATACCGTTGCATACATAATATGTGATTTCGATAAAAAAGTTCAAACTTAACTCTAAATTGGAATTTGTACTTATTCAATCTGAGTCTTTCAGTTAAATCACATGATATATATAACATTGTTTTTGCAATTCGCGATTACAAAATCCACATCTAACTCGAAACTTTCAAATATGTACTTTATTTAAGATAAGCTTCAAGTAACAACTATTAAGACAGGCCTAAGGCATCTCAAGACACCTCAAGACGTGGGTTTACGTTTCTCTGAAACGTCACGGGTTCACATGTCCTTAGATGTGCTATTAAAGTTACCATAGATGAAAAAAATATGTATATATATATATATATATATATATATATATATATATATATATATCGTAAAACCACACTGCGACAATAACCGGTCGACGGTGGAGAGAACGGCGCCTCGATACTTTCACCGCGAGAGCGAGGAAGAAAGGTAGACGGCGAAACTGGTCCCGCCGAACACGCGTGTTTGTTTTCCTCCGCGCGGGCTCACTCTAATTCATAGAAACTACTACGTGCTACTTCGTGTGAGAAATTCCACGTCGGTCCCTTCTATCGTATAACTTGTACACAGTCAAATCTCGCTCGCACGCTTGCCAGCCAATTCCGGCGGGCTAAACTGAAAGCGCGCGCGGCTTCTCCGGCCTTTTATATAGTCGGATAACGCGCGAACTTGCATCGCTCGGGTAAAAGTCGCCGTTAACCTTCGCACTTTTTACGTGGAATCGCGAAAAAATATATATGTTAACGTGCGCGTCTGTTAACGAGCGCGACTGATACGCGTTTATACGCGCGCCGAGGCGATCTCGATCGCGAATATGTTTCGCGCGGACGCGTACCTATTGTCAAATCGCGCGGGACACTAAAACAAAAAGTGGTAATTATTACTAAACGTATTTAAGTTACAGAACTTGAGTAAAAATTCGGTAATTAAATATGATAATAATAATCAAATACACAGTAGATTTGATGTACGAAGAATTTTTCATCACAGTCAAATGGACTGAAAATTTTAGTAATAGATATCAAATATTTAACATCTATTATTAAATATTTCGTAATTACTATCAGATATTTGGTTAAATATAAATGTTATGAAATATCATTCAATTCTATCTGATGAAATATAACTATTAATATTTACTTTGTTAAGGTAACGAAATGTTTAGTAACTCTATCGACTTATATTAATATAATAAATATGTTAATTAATATACATTACTTATATTAATATATATTATATATTAATTATATTAAGGCTCCTGACTCCTCCAATTGTCTATCTCTTTTTAATGGCGTCAAAAGCGAGAAAATGCATGCTAAAAATCCTTGCGAAATACATTAAAATAAAAATATTTATCCATAAAGTAACACTTGCAATCAATTAAACAAATTTGTAAGATATTCTGTGCACTTCCCTTTTGCTCTAACAATCAATAATTTATTATAAATTAACCTGAATAGAAATAGGCGAAGAAATAGGTTAAGAAGATGAATTGTATGTCACGTTAATTTACGACAAAATATTAATTGTTAGAACAAAAGGAGAGTGCACGGAATATCTTACAAGTCTTACTTTATGGATTGTAAGTGTTACTTTATGCATATATATTTTTATTTTAACGTATTTCGCAAGAATTTTTAGCATGCATTTTCTCGCTTCTGATGTCATTAAAAAGAGATAGACAATGCGAGGGGCAGAAGTCTTAATAAATATATATTATATATATATATATATATATATATATCACTTATTGATATATTTGTCGCATATCGACTGTTGTTGAATTGTTTTCAATATTTGCTAATAAACATGGCATTGTCGCATTTCTTAAAAGTTATAAGGATATATTATAAGCACGTGTAGTACAGTGCAATGAGTAAAAAGATATCGTCATAGAGCTTGTAAGACGCACTACATAGAGCAGTAGTTTCTGTTCGATCATGAGATAAAGTACCGAGTCTGAGAAAGCACGAATAACCGCTACAGGATCAAATGAAACCATGAACAGAACTTCACGTATGAAGCGATAAAAAGCGTCAATGTAAAAAATAAAAAATATAGATGTCTTAAAATAGTTTAAATAGGACGATGAGATTTTTTTAATAAAATAAAAAGAATTACCTAAAACAATTTTCATTTCGGAGACAAAAGCTTTAGGTAATAGTTACTAAACATTTCACTTCTTGCTACCAAGATTTGGTATTAAAAAAATCTCCAGGATTTAATTTAATGACCTGAATGTATAGTTCAAACAACTAAATTTTGTGAACCATACATTCGCTTTATATAACTAAGTTATTTTCTAACTATCATTTCATGTTTGGCATGAATCTCGCATTATTTGACTGAATAATTTAACATCAACTATTAAATTTTTTTACATGTAGAAAGGAGAAACGGTGACAAAATCGCGGAAACGATTATACGGTGGAAACGATCCACTGTCGCCTTATAATCCATTGATCGGCCAATTTTTCAGAGCGTTGACTTCCATTGAACTCCGAGAGAAGAAACTCGCGGGTCTTCCCACCTGCTGTTGTTGCTGGTACTGTTGCTGCTGTTCTAAACGATGAATCGCTCTTTTTTGGCTTTCTCCTTCGGATTCCGTTGAATGTACTACTAGATGTAAAATTGTCAGCTACTAGTTTACCGCGTGTCGTAAGCCGAAATAGCTGGAGCTAACAACGTTCGCCTTAGTGGCAGAAAACAAACGGGTTCCAAGGCCGGTCGTGTTAACCGCCAATTGTCAGGCTGCGCGTAATACACTTTCCAAATAACAAAAAAAAAAAGTTACGATACGCGGATTGTGCGAATTGCCTAACGCATACGAGGCAGCTAGCCTTCGTTTTTTCAAGCGTTGCATTGCGATTGTGCAATTGGCTGAATTTCACATGACTCTCCGTGACGCATACATTTGGTTTCAATGTAACTTAAACACTTTGATGTCGATGCAGTTTAGAGTGCAGTCCGATCAGTCGATCAGAAAATTCATTTTCGATTAATTTCCTAAAGTTGAGTTCTCTTCAACTGCGCTTCGAAAGAAAATAAGTACTCAAACTCCAAATAGCATAGAAGGTCTCAAAATCACCTTGAACGTGTCAAAAACGCCTGTACATAAAAAAATATTCTACTGCTAAGAAAAGCGATCTCTCAGTTTACTTTCCTTCTTTTAAGTTAAAATGGTTATCTTCAACAAAGAATATTTTCTTAATCATAGTCTTAAAATATACAACACAAATTTTGGGGAAGCTTATTATTATATACTTAAAAAAATCTATTATTTTTAAATATTATAAAACTTTATTGAAGAAAAAAAAGTTACTTCGACTCTGTGTAGTAAGCAAGTATTCTCTTGTATTTTTTAATAAGTACTTTCACGGTATAAAACACCCTCTGTAACGATGTAGTGATTACCATATAATCGATATAAAATTGCAATACAATAACCCAAAATTACACAGAATACATGTACAATCTGCTATCGGATTCTGTTTGCAAACTTTGTCGACAGAACAACAGCAAGTTGCGGACATAGATGACACGACAGATCATGTTCAATCTGTCGTCAGACTGCTAATAGATTGCTTGCTGGGTTCATTTACCTTCAGTTAAATGCACGCAATTATCTTCTTTGCAGAAAGAAGCAAATGTGGTTCTAACTAAACACACATGAATTTATCAAAATTTTGTTTACCCTTGTAACGAATTTTTCTACCCTTGTAAAAGAAATTGAAAATATTCGTGGAAAAATTGGAGAAAACCAGTTTTTCTTCCATGCTTTCAAAATTATAATGCGTACGTACTCGGTCGAATTTCACTCCAATTAAAGGCCAAGCTGCGTCACGACTCGCAGAAGATGACGTGCACCTGTGCAAGGTTCGTGGCGTCTTTCATGGTGGAAAAAGTTTCCTACCCATCGGCCTCATGAAGGGCCTGCTGAATGCCCCGCCGAAAGTCAGTCACACGAGAGGATCATCTGAACACGCCGATCCGCCGGGAAGCGAACGCAATCTGACCCTTGACCTTATTCCGAATCGTCCGGAATATGTCTCTATCGATGTCGTCTGATAGAAAGAGAGAAAAAAAGAATAGGAAAGAGCGTAGTCCTTGAGCTACACCTAATCTAATCTAATCGCAACGTTATTTGCAATGTATCCTCGCGTGCCTCGAGGACTCGTCGAGGAGCGCGCATTATAGCACTGCTTGTGCGACGCGTATATCGTTGCGACAGGCGCATACCGTTCAATTTAGATTATTACATGCGAATGAGCATCGGCCAATTATCCGATAATTCGAAGGACAACACGCTCGTGCCTGAAAGCGAAGAGCGAATGGCGCTACAATGTGTTACTCAGACATCGTTGCACGCTGATTTTTGCACAGAGAAAGAAAAGTACCCATTTAAAACTTATATACTCTATAATAAAACTAATTATATAATAATGCTAACAATAAAACTAATACGCCCCAGTTAACAGTTATTGTTTCATATCCAGAGCGTTTACCGAAACATCATTCACTACACAAGGTTGTTCCCTAACATGTGGGACTCACTTCAAGAGTGGATAGGAGACAAAAATAATAAAAAAAGTTCGTATAAATATGTGTCCTGTCTGAACTTGTTTCAGAGTTATAGCTATTTTTGTGCTTCAATAATCTACAGTTGCATATCTTCTATAGGAAGTGTTCCAAGTGATTACTGTCTGTATGCAAGCTTGCAGTCGTGTCAAGGAATTTCTCAATCTTTCAAAAATTCTAAGTATCTAAGTATCGGATTTGTTGACAGTCTTGCTATATACGTTCACAAAGTATTTCGATACTGCAATATATTTTTATCAGTCGCAATGAGATCGATTAAAGTTCTCCAGAAGCAATTAATCAGTTCTTAAACAAGAGGCAACAAGATGCAACAACAGGAAGTTAGAAAACGTTGTTTTTCATACAAAAATTAAAAGGTCACTGACACTTTTATAATAGAATATGAATAAACTTATATAACATAATTTAAAATTGTAATATGAATAACTAGTAAAAAATAATGGACATTGTCACGATATATAAACGCACTGCATAAACAAATAATAAAAAAACTAAATAATAATAAAACCATATCTTTCTTCATTCACATTGTTGTAAAGAGAATGATGAACTTTAACACAACATGTAGGAAAATAAATCGAAATATTCTGTTTTGATGCGATATATAAAACCCTATTGCAAAGGACGGAGTTTTGTGTTGTAGAAAATGGATTACATTTCAAACATGTTCTATGAATATTATTCATTACATTGTATTCGAAACGTCATGGTATTTTTGTCTGTATTTTTACTGTTGAACATAGAGTAAGAATTAGAAGTTTAGAGTAAGAATAATATTAGGAATTACTATTGAATTTATTTCGATCTCTTTTACAATTCTGTGGACAAAAAATGTAGTTCCACTTAAAAAAGTGATAAATAATCTTAACTTTTTTACGAAATAAAACGTTTTCGAAATTTCTACTATTGCGTCTTATTGCCGTTTAAAATCTGGTTGCATCCAATTGTATCTAGAATTGTTTCTCTCTCTTTTCCTCCCAATTATTGTAACTAGTAAAAAATAATGGATATTGTCACAATATGAACACATGGCATAAACAAATAATTTTATATTAGGATTTTAAAGTCTTGAACTCAACAATGATACAATTTCATTTGAATATTGCAGCAGACTCGTAAGAAGTACAATATGATTATTTTGATGATAATGATATCCTCTTCCGACGTTTAAAAATATATTCTCAATCCAATATTTTGTGCTTTTCATTCATGAAAATTATTTTAGAATAATACAAATATATTTTTTTTATTGAATCATATAAAATGTATAAGCTTATTTTAAAGTTTACATATGAAAAGTAAAGATATTTTCAAAGCAAGAATGTTCTTTTTTCTGCGTATGTTTACGTCTATACGACGGTGTCGGCGTCCGTTACTCAAGATGCGATTTTCATTGAAATTCTTATGGAAAATTTGCGTTTAGTAAAGTTTTCATTAAAAATTCACGTTGGGAATGTTCATTGATAATTCTTACTGCAAATTCGTTGTGAGAATACAAACTTCGAGAAAATGTCGGCGAATTTTCGCGACGCGACAATGCTAACATACGATAAATTTCGACGAATTTTTGCGCGCGCATTTCTTGAAGGTTTCTTATTAAAAGATGTCCCAATCTGTATTGTTTTTTTTTTTTGTAATATTGTATTATTAATTATATTATGTGATCAATAATTTTTCACATAAAATTAAACGTTTCTATTCTGATGTAATTTTATAAAACAACATACACATTCTTTTGCATGCATTGTTTCAGGAAATTATAACGACATAATCTTTGCATATTTTATCTGAAAAATCCGAAATTACTTGTCACACACAAACCAGTACATTTTATAGGTTTAAAATAAAACAATTGTATGGAGAAATAAAAGAAAAATCGACAGATTCGTTTTTTAGTCGAAAATCTCAATGGAAATTTGTATAAAAAAAAGAAAAAAAAATTATGACATCGTGATCGCTCTTACTTAAGAGAAATACTACCGATGTAAGGGAATTGGAGTACAGGCATAAGCAAGAAATCTATTATTTTTATTTTTTACTCCAACTCACGTCAAGTTTACTCCGCGTATTATACACAAGCCTACAGTCAGTATTGGTTTTTTCTTTTTTTGAACGAGAAGCTCAGTCGTTTTGCCTAACCTAGAGACACTTACGGAACGCTGACCCGTCGAAATATAGCCGTGACATTCACAGCTCAGGAAACGAAGAAGCGTTCACACATTACTTGTGCGAAGATAATACCCGAAGCGCCGCAGGATTACGTCAGTATCGAGGCGAACGCAAATCCACACGAGCACCGACGCTACGACCGGCATTCTCCGCTATTTGACAGCGACGCGAACTGTCAAGTGCAACAATGAAACGACGCCGACGAAGATTTGTAATAGTAACGAAGTGCAAAAGGTGCAAATAAAATGTACTCTTAAGCTCGTATCGCTCATGTCGTTTTGAAGATTGAAAATTGTTTCTTGATCAATCAGGGTAAAGGCTGGTTTATGATGGTCGCAATCCGTTAACTGGGAGCGTCCCGATTGACCACGGTACGATTGGACACAACCAACCGATGAAAAGAATTATCTAGTGAATTACTAGGTCGAACCAATCATTACAATCTGTGTCCAATCGTATTGTGGTCAATCGGATTCCACCCCGTTAACTTATGCCGGAATCGTAAAAAATTGACCAATCATAGTCGAATTATGGCTCCTGCACACAGAACGAGGTAAGGGCTATCGCACACAACTGACATAACTGCATATGCATAGCATAAGATCGTATGGACCAATGAGCATTGAATATTAAGCATCGAACACCAATATGGCGACTTAATACTCGATGCTCATTGGTACATACGGTCTTATGCTATGCATATGCAGTTATATCAATTTGTGTGCGATAGCCCTAATGCTTGCCGCGCGGCGGAAGTCTACGCGACAGCCAATCAATATGTTGTTTTTCTGTAAAAACTAGAAAGTTATTACGGAAAGCAGCATATTAATTGGCTGTCGCGCGGCGGAAGTCCGCGTGACAGCCAATCAATATGTTGTTTTTCTGTAAAAACTAGAAAGTTATTACGGAAAGCAGCATATTAATTGGCTGTCGCGCGAACTTCCGCTGCGCGGCAAGCATTACCGCGTCCTGTGTGCAAAAGCTATTATAGAAGAATAATCAACTGTAACTGGTCAATTGTTTACGGCTCCGGCATAAGTTAACAGATTACTTTAACTTCGACTTCAATATTTGACTACAGGCCTCTCTAAGAGTTATGCCCCAACGCCATTTTTCCGATTAATGATATATTTCAAGAGTAAAGTCTTGGAAAATTTCAAGACACGTTCCAAAAAAATCACAAAGTCCGAACTTGTTCGAACACGTCTTGTCGTGACGGCAGTTAGGCCGGGACTTAGGGCTATCGCACACAAATTGACATAACTGCATATGCATAGCATAAGATCGTATGGACCAATGAGCATCGAATATTAAGCATCGAACACCAATATGGCGACTTAATACTCGATGCTCATTGGTACATACGGTCTTATGCTATGCATATGCAGTTATGTCAATTTGTGTGCGATAGCCCTTAAAGTTAACAGATTACGGCCATCATAAATTGGCTTTAAAAGCTGGTTTATGATTCCCTTAAAGGCCAAATCACACTAATTGGCAAATCACACGATTGGCGATAGATGATTGACGATTGAAGATTGGAATTTGACTAATTGGAACAAAGCAAAACAAGGCTGTAGCTTGTTGATTCGTTAAAATCTAATCTTTAATTGTCAGTCGTCAATCGCCAATCGCTAGTGATTTGGCCTTAAAGGCTAAATGCACACAGGACGCGGCAATGCTTGTCGCGCGGCGGAAGTCCGCGTGACAGCCAATCAATATGTTGTTTTTCCGTAAGAGCTAGAAGGTTATTACGGAAAGCAGCATATTGATTGGCTGTTGCACGAACTTTCGCCGCGCGGCAAGCATTACCGCATCCTGTATGCAGAAGCCATAAGAGCTAGAAGGTTATTACGAAAAGCAGCATATTGATTGGCTGTCACGCAAACTTCCGCCGCGCGGCAAGCGTTTCTGTGTGCAGAAACCATAATACTTGGGCTGTGTTCGGAAACATACACAGTGTGCACACTACTAGACGATAGCCGTTCGGAAACACTCAGTGTGGCTCGATGTGGGGTGGGACCCGATTGACCACGATACGATTGGACACAGATTATAATGATTGGTTTGACCTAGTAATTTACTAGATAATTCTTTTCATCGGTTGGTTGTGTCCAATCGTACCGTGGTTAATCGGGACGCTCCCCTCGATGTGCACTCATGTGAGATCGTTCGGAAACGAAGAGAGAGGCACACCAAACGTGTGCCACCAAACCACTCGATGAAAAAACAAGGGGAGTCGGTGCTAGCTGGCGAATTACTAGTTACCTACGTTATATAGTCTGTTTTTTTCAGCTGCACTGCTGAATTAATGCAATAAGTTGGAGTGAGAAAAGATGAAGCTGAAAAGAACAAACCAATAACCTTTTCATTTTCGCATTACTTCACAGTACAAAGGATGTTTACGTGTAGCAATCGGATTCCCAATCGGATTGATATAATCGCAGTGATGTAAATTGTCTAGAGAGAAAGTTCCCTAGGCTAATTGGATTACCAAATCGTGATCGTGAAGGACGGATCGGATTAGCGGATGCAAAGAAACGTTGCGTACATACATCTCTTAAGAAATAAATATTAAGAAGTAAATAGAAAAGTATGTGCATTGTTATTTTCATTATAACTAACGTGTATTTTTCTGCATATGTACATAAATAAATAAAGATTTATTTCTATTTTACTGATGTGTGTATCAAAGAAATAAATACATCTTAACCTAAATGTACTTCAATCGTTAACACACAAGTTTATTAAATATAAAATATTTTCAGAGTTAAAGAATTATGGAAATAAATGAGAAAGGGATGTTTGAACAGAGTCAATTTCGTATGTATATATACATACCAAATAAAGCACATTTAGGTTAAGATTTATTTCTTTGATACACACATCAGTAAAATAGAAATAAATCTTTATTTATTTATGTACATATGCAGAAAAATACACGTTAGTTATAATGAAAATAACAATGCACATACTTTTCTATTTACTTCTTAATATTTATTTCTTAAGAGATGTATGTACGCAACGTTTCTTTGCATCCGCTAATCCGATCCGTCCTTCACGATTTGGTAATCCAAATAGCCTAGGGAACTTTCTCTCTAGACAATTTACATCACTGCGATTAATCCGATTAGAAATCCGATTGCTACACGTAAACACCCAAAAACAGAAAACAGACTTCTAATTTACATTAAAAGTCACACTGGAAAGCGTTCGGAAACACTCGACATACGAAAATACACGGTACACCTACTACTTTCCCACTGAAATCACGAAAACACACGAGAGAGTGATGTTTCCGAACGTAGCCTAGAAGTGCTATAGTATATATATCATATATTATAGTGTTTCTAGTAATAGAGAACATCCGGATGAGGAATCTGAACGCACCCCTGGAGTGGACAAAACTGCATCGAGATTTGGATTGTGTTTGTTTGAGCGCACACACACTGTAAATATTATTCTATCCTTATCACTCATTACATATGGAAGAAATGCAGGATTCACACCACGTCCGATGTCCGACGTACGACGTCTGGCATCCAATAAAAAAATAGTTTTCTAATGGAGAATTGAATTCTATGTTAGAAAGCTGTTCTCCTATTCGATATCGGACGTCGTATATCGGACGTGCTGTAAATCCTGTGTAAGATAAACTAATGCTTATAGCGCGTGAGTACCTAAGGGTGCGTTCAGATTCCCTACCCGGGTGCACTCTATTACTAGAAACACTATAGTATATGTTACATATACTATAGCACTTCTAGTATTAGAGTGCACCCGGGTAGGGAATCTGAACGTAACCTAAAGCGAACGTACCGCTAG